CTATTATCACTGCTCATTGTCCCCATCGTTGTCATCACCATCATCTTCTTCATGTTCATAATCATCAGTCACTACTATCAGTGTAGTTGTCTGGTGGTACTGTTGGGTTTCTGTAAATAATGCTTTAAGGAGTTTGGTCTAGACCTGCTTTATTTGAAAAGTGTCCTGAGATAATGTCTGTTATGAATTGGTGCTATACAAATGACACTGGATTGAATCGAACACTGGACTAAATGTTGCAGTTTTTTGTATTGGCCGCGTTGTAGCTAACCGAATCCTGTTCTGAAGCCTCCAGTTGGGCTTTCTGGTCGTCTCCATGTTGTTCTTTGTAGCAAGCAGCGGTGATGTACTGCAATGAAACTCATACTTTAAAAATAAAAGCACGAGAGAGTAAGTGTATATTACAGGAAACTCAGGATGACCCTATTTTTTCAAAATAAAATCCCAGAGAGTAAATGTGTCTTAATTGGAAACTGAGCATAAGGCTGTTCTTTCAAAATGACCCATATAGTAATAACCATCAATAAAGCATTTAAACATCAGGATTATTGTACTTTATTGTCGTCAGTGTGAACACGTTAATCAGAACAATCATTGCTTCAAAAGCCACAAAAAGAAATTAACAAAGTCGAACAGAAATAAAAATATGTCTGATTCTAATTACTAGTTACATTCTGAAATGATAAGGAAACTCAACATGATTTTAATTTACTATAACAATAATGTAAGGCTTCAGTCTGTGAGAGCAAAAACAGTTTATTTACTGATTATCTCCGAATTACAACAAAAGATCTAATAATGATGTTGGATATTTTAAGAATGATCTCAGATAAAGTTCTCATAATGATGTCTGTGTTGTAATTATATGTAATTAACATCTTTACGAGAGACGAGAGGTTTCCTCTTGCTGCTGATTATGAATGTGATTAAAGTGATTAATGAGTTTTACTTGTTATTGCCTGAAAAATATTGTCCACGTACAGTTTGAGGCACAAGAAGAACATTTGTCACACCGAGGCGATGGCGTCGCAGCGCGAGCGTTTTCGCACAATTTCACGTAAAAAAATATTTAAAATGATTGATTACTACAGAATGTTTGCCTTTATTATGAAACAACCAATAACTTATGAAATAAGTTTTTATGACGTCTGAATGATTGAAATTATCTTCATTATGATATATAAAATGTTTCTCATAATTATGACTATATTTCATAATTAAAACATACGCACAAATTATTAATTTCGCAATTAAACATCTTTTAAATTAAATTATCTGATAATAACACAAATGATTATCGGAGCCTATCGATTAAAAAATAAACTGACAATAAATCAAATATTTCAGGTTTTTATCGTTGTCCTTCCTTCTGTGCAGAACGTGGTTGTTTGTTTCCATGGCAACAGTCATCCACCAGGTGAGACGAGTCCGGTAATCTGTCCATCGAACCCAAAAGAGACCTGATGTCTCCTCCTTCAAACTGTGTCTGTCCCCCAAGAGAAATCACAGCCGTTCTGGACACTATGTCCTCAGAGTGTTAGTGTCAGTGTGTCCTCAGACGGTCCTCAGTGTGTCCTCACTATGTCCTCAGTTTGTCCTCACTGTGCCCTCAGACTGTCCTCACTGTGTCTTCAGTTTGTCCTCACTGTGTCCTCTTTGTGTCCTCAGTGTGTCCTCAGTGTGTCCTCTTTGTGTCCTCACTGTGTCCTCACTGTGTCCTCTTTGTGTCCTCAAAGTGTCTTCTTTTTGTTAGTGTCAGTGTGTCTTCATACTGTCTTCACAGTGTCCTCTTTGTGTTAGTGTCAGTGTGTCCTCAGACTGTCCTCAGAGTGTTAGTGTCAGTTTGTGTCCTCATGCAGTCTGGTTCTCTTTCTATGTCTCCTGTGGGACAGCAGCTCTGTCTCTATACCTCCTTCTCCTCTTTACTGTGAATCGACGTTCTTCTCAGGTTTTCTTTCACTTTGACGAACTCTGGAGCTTTCAGGTTTTCCTGCTGCTCCTTCTCCTGCTGTCTCTCCAACTGTAACAAAGAGACAAAGACGTTCAGCAAACAGGACTCTGAAGAGGGACGGACAAAGAGCTGTGTTCGTATTCAGTGATGATGTATTCTGTGGGCGGAGCCTAACTGCTGTCAGACAGAGACAGTTGTGCAGTAGCTAGCAGTGTTAAGCTGCAGCGTTCTCACTGCCACAGGCATCGACTGAAACAACGCTGTAAAATAAATAGTCATATTCAGAATGTCTCACTATATCTGTAATGTTCCTACAACACAAAGGATGCTGCTGCCTCGCAAGGCGAATGTTAGCTTTGTACCGTTAGCATAATTTATTGTCGGCTTAAATCAACACCATTTGGACTCTGCCATGACAACGTGCTCGCAGCAGTCAGTTGGTCTGTACAGTCAGCACAGTTTCCCAATGTGTCCCCTTCTGTTCGTCAGTTACTGCGGTTCTGCAGAACATTGGGATGTCACAGGGAAGTTGACCTTTGACCTTTTGGATAAAAAAATCTCATAATTTTATCCTATTAGACATTAGAGTGAAGTTGAACTGAGACAGACAGACAGACAGAAAGAAAGAAAGAAAGACATGAGGCATAAAAAAGATAAACGATAACACAAAACAAAAAACATGAATATGGTACAATTACCACTCTGTGTGTGTGTGTGTGTGTGTGTGTGTGCTGACCTGGGGAGCTCTTCTGTCTGAACTCTTCATCCTGCATCTCTATCAGCACTACAGGAGGAGGAATATGAGGAGACAAACCTTCATTACACTCTACTCATCATCATGTTCATGTTAGCCTAGCTTAGCACAAAGACTGGAAGCAGAGGAAACAG